GTCTGCAAAGGTTTATTTTGAGACTACATCAAGACATCCTGTTGTGCAGGATCCAATTTGTTAATGGCTTTCAAATACCATTATTGTGGCTGTGGAGAGAGGAAGACGTTTCCCTCAATATGATCCCAAGAACAAATTTTACTCAGTACCTGTAAGAGCAGCAAGGAAAATAACCAAGTTGTGAAATATTCCACCTTCTTCCCCCTTCCACCGAGGTGAGTAGAATTTATTTTTTCTTGAAGCAGCTTTTCAGCAGGCTGTTATCACAGCCCTCCTCTGGCTCCCAGAGTAGCCAAAACTCCTGTGACCACAGATGAGTTTGAACACCAGCACACCAAGCAGCTGCAGCTCAGCAACAGAGAGCAAAGCTGGCAAAACACAAGTGTCAGATCAATGGGGGGGAAAAGTGCATTGAAATAAAGCACACAAATAGAAAACAGGCTGGTACAGGCTCTAGGAAGTCAGGTAAAGAAACCAAACCACAAAATGTCTGTAAAAGTATGTTTTTAAGAGCCCTTGAAGCCGTGAAAAGCTGCCACTCCTTTGCAAGAAGTTATTTTTCTGCTGTGCCCCAACCAGGCAGGAATTACATGAGTTTGGGCAGCACAGTGTTTAGGGATGGTATTTTCTGAATGACTGGGGTAAGCCAGAAGCAGCAGCTAATCCAATCCCTTAACAAATGCTTCATGGGCATGCAAGTTTAAATAAATACAAAACAATACAAAGTTGGTCTGGATTGCCCTCATATGTGAGACAACACACCCCAGGCCAAAAGGCATTTCCACATTTCTCCTGGAGCCCCTTTGTCACCTCCCATCCTCTGTGCCTGGCTCCCTTCAGGACTGACAAACCCCTCAGAAATCAGCTCATCCCCAGCAGAGGCTGCTACAATAATGGGCAAGTTTTAAGTGCAAGGTGTGGGATGATGTGGTGAGAAGAAAACGTTTTTAGCTTTGATGGAAAAAATAATTCCTACTCATCACCTACGGGAGTGCAGAAAAAGCACCTTGGAACGGTTTGGAAATAATAAGCAATGTTAAAAAAATCAGCTTTTAGCTTACAGCAGGATCCAGGGTATGCACTGGCCCATTTCCCAGCCTCAGCAGCCTGGGATTTGTCCTGCAGGTAGAGGCAAAAATGGAGAGTGAGGCTGAGAGCCCAGCCCAGGGACAAGGTGTCCTGGGGCACAGCCTCAGCAGGGCACCTCTAAAACTTCAGACCCAAAATCTCTGAAAAACCCTCGGGCAACACACCCAGTTTCTAGCGACCGAGCCTCAGAGAGGTGAAGAGGCAAACCTGTGAGAGCCTGGCGTGAGGATGATTAATTAATTAACCCCGGGGGACTCAGATTACAGGAGCAAGGGCGAGGGAAGGACCTGCCCAGCCTCCAAAGCCACCTCCAGGGAAGGGACAAGCCAAGGCCACACGGACACCGCAGGTCCCCGACACAGCACCTTCTATTGTGGCTTTTTGTGTTTCCAACACCCAAGTGCCATCTGAGTCCCCTCCCTGGCACGGTCTCACCTAGCAGGTGACACCTCTGGGAACAATCCCAGCCAGAACCTCCTGGGGCACCAAGCACAGGGAAGAAGCACCAGAACCCCAGGTTCAAGCTACAAAACAGAGCAAAATCTTAGAAGAGCAGAGCTGAAGAGCTGCAGCTTTTACGTAACGCCTTCCCCTGCCCTCGCCCACCTGCACTGAGTCAGCACAGCAGGTTCTCCTCATCTGCACTTTCCCTTTCCTGCAGGTTATCCCATCTCTGCAGCCACCACAAACGGATCGGATCAAGAAACAATTAAAAAGGGATTTTCTTCCCTAATCAGTTCTTCCGCACTAGGATTTCTGTTTCACATCGCTCCTAAAGCGACAGATATCACAGCAAATTTCATCAGGTCTTTTCTGCCCTCTGACTCATATTCCTAAATAACTCTGGTTGACTCATTTCTCCTAACTTGGCTGAAATCTAAGACTTTCCTCTCTTAAAAAAAAAAAAAAAAAAAGGCTTTCTCCCTTAAGCTTTTGCAGGTGATTCTGAACATTCCCACTAGCTAATTGTAGGAAATGAGAAGAAAAGCAAAGGGGTTCTGCCTGCCAGACAGCCCATCTGTACCTCACTGCCCTGATTACAACATGTAAAATCTCCTGTGAGCAAAGCCATCCTGTACCAGCTCCATACAAAATGGACTCGTTATATCCAGTCACTAAAAACACAGCCAACAGATTTACCATGAATAATTAAAGCATTTTTCAATTTTATGTTCTACATCCTACAACAAGTGTTTATGTTGCTACAGAAAAAAAAACCATCATTAGGGTTGAAAATCATTAATATAACTTCACCACAACTGAAGGGAGCCACAAGGGGACAGGACACCAAGAGATATGCTATTTTATTTAAAATCAGAACACAGTAGATAACAGAAAGACTTATTATGCAAACAAATCCACTGTATGTTTCACAACTTGCTTGGCATATAAAATTGCCCCTTATTAAGACAGTTCAGGATCACACAGAGGAACTGTTCAGGCACAGGACGACTCTGCCCCCTCTGAACTCCACGTCCGCCACGCAGCTCCACGTGAGGGTGAAAGAATTGTCAGCCTGAGCTCTGTATCTACGTTGTGATTCCAGTTTGAGAGGGCAGAGAAGTCCCAAGAGAGGTGGAGACTGAGGCTGTGGAGGTTGGGGCAGTAATGGGGATGATCACCTCGACCAGACAGTGCCCAGGTGCCTCCTGGCATGGCAGGGCAGCTCCTGTTCCCTCCAGTGGTACAGAGGTGACCTGGCTGGATCAGCTGTGCTGCAACAACCGACTCCACCTTCTCTGGGAGGCAGCCCCGAGTGCGCTGAGACCCAGAACTGCTCCAAGTCCCAGCTCACAGAACCGCTACAAAAGACTGGCACAAAGAATGCCGCCCAAAGAGAGCATTTCCAATGCTACCAACACTCTAAAGCCGTGTTACACATTGTATTTAAAGGATTTTTCTCCACTCCAATTGCTTTGGGGAAGTATATGCTATTTGTAGCAGATATCAAAAATCCTTTATATATATATATATATTTTAACTTTTTTTGGCAAGCATCGTAAGCCACCCCCTCTCAAGTCTCAGCTTGCCTATGGCATTTTAATCTCACTATTTTATAAACAGTGCAAATTAGTACAATTCTAAACATCCTAGCCAGAGCAGAATTCACTTATTAGCTATAAGAGAACAGGAGAAGCTGTTGAAGGGCAACAGGTTGAAAGCATTGACACAGCTCTTGCCAGGTTAGTGTTTTGTCAAGTTTGTTGCTGAAAGGATTGAACAGCTTTCCACAGTCACTCTTCTCCTTTACCCTTAAACATCACCAGCAGTCAAGTAAATATTTACTTTTTGTGTGCACACACACACACACACACACACAAAATTAATGGCAAAACGTTTTCCATGAGCAGCTGGACTTCAGTTATGAGCTTGCAATAACTGAAACATCACATTAGTTACATCAGCTACGTTCAAACTTACCCATCAGTGAAGGCAACTATAAGCTTACAAATAGCAGATACAGCTGTTTTCTTCTGAAGTATGAGGGTCAGTTTTTTGTGAAAGTCAGTGCTCTCAAAGAGCCCTTAAATTAGAGTTAAGCAATGGCCATTCAAATGATAAAAATGCTAATATCCTAGAATTACAATCACAAGTAGTGATCCTAAGGCACATCAGCCACATGCATATGCAATAATGCATTGTTTTGCTTTCAGACAAAAAAAAAATTGCATTAGGTTTGTCTGTATTTAGTGTGCACAAGAGGTTGTTTTTAGATAAAAGTATCCCTGAAAGGTCATTGTTATCACAAAAGTTACCAAAAGACAGAAGATTTAACAAGTAGTAAAAATATTTTTGGACTACTAATACCAATAAAGTCTGATACATAAAATGCAGTGCAAATTCACAATACACTTATCTATCACCCCCATCACTTCTGAGGATTTCCAACCCTCAGAAAAAAAGTTGGCACCTGATAAGTGTAAAATATACCTGGTTGTTTTTACGAAATCTTAGTAAAACTGATTTTGGGAGTGTTTTAGAGTTTTTGTGTAGCAGGCTCAAAGTACGAATTTCTGTATTCAGACTCCACCCTGGTAGCCCCCACCCACTTTAATTCTTTCTAGGACACAAACCATTTCTACAGCAGACTCATGTTTAGCATCCAGATACAACAGCTGCCATCCAAATACCAGCACTAACAGCACAGCAAAGTTACTTTGAAACAAGTCATAATTAACCATGCTTATACAAAGCTTCAGTGAGAAAATAATACCAAGAAAAGATATCACACTATTTAAAAAAAAAAAACAAAACAACAACCACATCCTGTACCATCACTAGATTACAGAAAAAAACACACTTTGCAAACAAATCCAATGCACACTGCTTTACAAAATCCCCCATCTATAAAAACTTGCCAGACTAACACTGGGGAATTGGTTCAGATGCCAGTAACACTGACCAACTTTCTGCCCTTTGTCTGCAGAAGGCAAAACAAGACAAATGACCATATTAATATTTTCAGAATCGAGAGCTTCCTGTTATGATCTTAATTTCAGATTAGTATTTGCTAACCACCACACTCCAGAGGAAATGATTAAGGGACAATCCAGGTCTTACATAAAGAAAAATAAAATAGATATTCTATTCTGACTGATGTTTGTAGTACTTCCAAACAATGTAGTGCATTCCAGGACAATGATACCAAAAGGCTCTGAAATAACCAGGGGCTCTGACAGATTCTGGACTGATTGGTAACAAATTCACAGACACATTCTGTGCAAACAACAAGTGTTAAAATTTGCCTCCCCCAGTGCTGGATTAAAATACCAGCATGTGTCTGCACCTTAGGCTTCAAGAGTCTCATGGAGAGTGAAATCTGAGCTGCCCTAAAAAGCCTCTCCCATCCAGGGGCAGAAGTCAAGAACCATAAGATGCAAACAGCCACCATGGATTTCAAAAGGCTTTTCTTTTTTGCCTACTTGCAGAGAAACATTAACTGCAAATTCCAGATAGATACACATGCCCCAAACTGCATAACTAAATGAAATGGGAAAGTTAAAAATAGTTCTCCCAAGCGAGAGACAGAGTTAAGGGATAAAAAGAAATTGTGGAAATTCAAGTGGGCAATTACATGTGAAAATCCAGTATATGATTAAGAAAATACCCTGCCTAGATTCCTGGAATCACATGGTATCAAAAGCTAAGCACCTGTGTAAAAAAATCATTCCTGTATCCAAGGTGTGGAAAAGGAGAAAAAAAACAACCATTAGAAAGAGTCTTAATAGTCAAGGAAATAAAACTGCCTGGTAAAGTGTCTATAAAACCCTAAACTGGCTCTACAAACAGTTTAGTTTCATTTCAAGAGACCAGGACTTTGAGGGTATCAAGCTACTTAGGAGTGGGAGTAGTGCCTACTTTGATTACACACTAAGGTAACAACTGAAATGCAAAAATGAAACTCTTGTCCTTTTCCCCATCTAAAACCCCACAAGGTGTTCTGACAGGAGCTTCAGCTCAGTGAGCTCTGAAAACGTCGTGCACCTGGCCCTGGATGCAAAAGGATGCTGAGGGGGGTCCTGTGCACACCCCAGCAGTCAGATATGGTTGTTACCATCCCAACACTGTCACGGACACAGAATTCCTCAGAGAGACAACCAGCTCCCTGTTTGCCACACACACATCCAGCTGCCAGGGGAATACATCAGAACACAGGAGGATGCTGATTTACCATCACTAAGGAATTCAGAGCGTGACTCGGTTCGTAACATCAGCAAACCCACAGCCGGTGCCTTCCCAATTTGATGGATTTACAGAATTTAGACCTTATCACCTTCCTGGGAAACACTTGTCCTCACTGACCTTTGCAAACAAACATCACCACATTTAGCAAAGCAATTGCAAACCTCTGTGCCACAGCTCGGCCTTTGTGCTCCATTGTGCAAAGAACAGAGGCTTCCCACTGCCCACAGCAAGTCTCTGATGGGGGAAAAGGAAATATAAGCACCAATACATAAGTCAGGCGCACCCAAATATTTACTGGAGGATAAAGCCAGGATGTGGTGGAAGGCGAGGTGGTCTTTGGGGAAGAGGAGGAGGGTAGGGTGGTACAAACTGAGCTGGGTATCCTGGCTGTGCTGGTTGACTCGTGGGCTGAGCTGCTCCCGGCCGAGGCGGGAGAGGAGGGTACGGAGCACCTGGGTAAGAAAGAGCTGGTCCTGAACTCATGGCTGCAGTGAAGGGAGTGGGGAATCGTCCTGCCGGGCCCGAGGGAGGCGGCGGGGGTGGGATCCGCCGGGGCACCACCGAGGGAGGAGGGTTTGCATCCGCCTTGTAGGGATCTGCAGGGGCTGCTGCGGGCTCGGGTGGTCTCGGCTGCGCAGGCGGCTGAGCCTGAGGAAGTCTCTGTCCCTTCAGCACCATTTCCTGCAGCTTCTCGATCTTCACCCGGCGCAGGTGAGCCAGTTTCCGCTTGCTCTGGTACTCGTCGATGAAGGAATCCAGTGGTATTTCACCATCAAGGAACTTTTCTGCCATGTTCTGTCAAATACAGAACATTCTCTTAGGAAACAGCCTACTGCAACAGAATCTAAATGGCTCACATCCCAAAAATAGCATCATTTTGCCTGTGATTTTCCAGCTGGCATATGGAAGATGACTGGCATACCAAAGAATTCTGAGGAGAACTTTCAGTTAGTTATTACTCAGAAGCACTGAGAGTTAAATATCACCTTTGCATAAATTTATACTGAAGTAACAGCAGTATAAACATCTGAATCTTGCTCTGAGCACTCCTCTGATCACCAGAGATGAGAACAAACCAAGTCCAGCAGCTTTCCAGATTGCCAGCTAAGCTGAATTACAGTTCAGTGCTGCTTGAATGCCAACAGAAACACTGAGCTCTGTGAGACTCAGCACAGAGATTATTGCTAAGTCAGGTTTAAGACTCAGCCTTACTTGTGGCTTTGCGTAAATGATGTTCAATAATTGAGAGATGAACAAAGTAAGTTACTAAATTCAGCTTGTCCTGGGAATGTCTTTTTACAATCACAACTAAGGGCTAATAAGCAATTTTTTTTTCCCTCCTGATTAATTCCAGAAAATGCCTGCATGCAAATCAGCAAACAAAACCAAACACTCCCATTATTCTGAAGTCACATCACCCTTCAAGCACTTGTGTTACAGCAAGTGGTGACCACTGGCAACCTGCACAGACACATTTGAAATCACAATGGAATATCTCACCAGAAACAATGGAGGAAAAGCAGCACAGGCACAGTTTTTTTATTAGGCTACTAACTGACATTTATTATGAGGTAATACATATACCAGGCAAACCCCATTAAAAAAAAGATTCCACATTTTTAAACTCTACAAGTTTGAGGTCAAAGCCAAGGAACTAAGAGGGTTTGCCTGTCTTCTAAAAAGGAGCACTTTCTCTCTTGAACTTCAAAGATATTAAGAGTAAAAAATTACTCAGATAAAAAAGAAATAAAATTGCTGGAATCAAACAGCTGTTCCCTGAAGTTCAAAGCAGAGACAAGACCATATTCTTAAAACCACCCCTTAATCTGTCACATGCTCAACTCAGCACTGCAGCCACGGACACTGGAAGGTTCTGGTAATGGGTGGAAGTGGCAGAATTGGGGTGCTCTGTCATTACCTCTGTGTCCTCCTCAATCTTCGCCCCCTCGGTCTGCAGCAGTGCCAGCAGGGTCTCCAGGGAAGCATTGCTGGATTGTCTGTCTGCAAAGGCACAGGAAGGACAGAATATGACAGCTGGCTCTAAGTGACTTCAAACCACACAACAACCTCTAAGGCACATCTGCACAACCAGCAGACTCTGCAGTTCTGCACAGGATGATCACAAGAAGAAATCTATTACAAAGTTCGGGAATATTTGTCAGAGTGCTAAGAGCTGAAATTTAATTCCAGTTATATATTTGTAATATCGAAAGCACTTCAAGCAAGTGCAATATCAGATGTAAAATGTAATTCAGTATGAATGTTAAATGCAATATTCCATTTGATATATAAATAGTCACTGAAAATTCAAAGTGTTTTGCTCTTTAGCAAGGTAAATGAAGTTGATAACGTAGAGAAGAGCAGGTCAAGAATAGGTAGGTAACAAGAAGAATCCACAGTATCTGTTACTAGATGTGACAGTCACTTAATAAATCATCAGAAGTGTGATCTATTTCAGCACTACACAAGAATGACATTTCACTTTGTACCCTAATTCACACAGCTAAAAATGAGACACCAAAAACCAAACAACAAACAGGCAACAGATTTACATTCACTTAGAAAACAGCAAATCATAATTGTCAACAGCCAGCGTTACCTAGTTTTGTTTTCTTTATCTGGTATGCTTCAAAAAGAACTTGCAGCTCTTGGTATTTCTCAGTCAAATTTGATTTCAGAGACTCCAACTTTGGCTGGTACAGGAGATTTCCTTCTGCCAGACTGCGGTTGCTGGCAAGAGTCATGTCCTTGCTGTGCTGAACATTTTGGGCCTGGATATAAATTTAATAAAAAAAAAGTGTGTGAAATGACAGTGAAATTATTAAGCAAGACAAAATGAGAACGTGAAAGCTTTTAAATAAACAACAAAAGTAAGCCCTATGTAAGAATTAGTGCTGTGGCATTGGACCTTGAACTGATGAACAAATGATGAAACACTGACAGATAAAGCGACAGCTCTTGAAAAAATCTGAATTCCAGCAGTGAGATACAATGAGTGCAGAAGAATATCATCCCTTATCCTGTTAACATGTAAAAAATAAGGATTGCATCGTGACTGTTCCTTCTCCAGAATATTTTTCCCCAACTGTGCTACACCAATCATGGATTAATGCCAAAACCTTCATTTTTTTCAGTTTAATCTTTCTGCTTTAACAGTTCCTAAATAGCCTGAAGAAAAAGTGACAATTCTCACACACCCAAGATTCAGCCAGATTCCAGTTTGCTCACACATGCACAGGATTTTATCAGGAAAGCCTTCAGGAGCTCTGGGAGAGATGAGTGTTTGGAGAAGTCTGCCCTGGGTGTCACATTAGATTCATTAAAATATTCAGACATCAAAAGGAAAAAAAAACAAAAAAACCCCCCAAAAAAACAACCAAGGGATTTGATTTTAGATTCTCAGGCTGAATCAACAAGTGGAATAGTCCTCCCAGGGCACAACAGACTAATTCTACTGAGCTGCTTTCAAAAGCAACAGAAGTTTGGTATATTTTGGTGCCCTCCTCCATCCATGTGTCCCTTCTAGTCCAGGCTGTCCCCGGTCAGCTGCAGCTGCTCCCACTTACAGCCCCTGCAGTCCGTGCAAACACAAGCACAGACCTTGCTCCTGCCACGCTTCTGGGTGAACACAGAGCCACACCTCAGAAACACCGAAAGAAAAAACCCAAATCAGCTGTTTAAATGCCCCGGAAAAGGTCAGCATCAAAATTCAGGTGTTTTTCCAAGCACAGCTACTGTCTTTGAGAGCAATTACTTCCTTTTGAAATATTTAGATGCTATATTTAATGTCCTAAATTCAAAAGTAGCTTGGTGTTACTTAAACACACCTTTGTCCCCAGATATTGCTCTTCAAATACCAAAGCTTTACTCTGACCTTGTTCTTGCCAAATCATTTAAAAACCCAACAATAACTGCCAAAGATAATGCAGAGTCCTAAATTCTACATCAATCCCAATTTCACTCCAAATTGTGAAATTCAGAAATTACACTTTCAATATTGTTTTGTCTTTTCAAGCCTAAATAAGCATCCAGCCCTATGCTTGTGTTCAGTGTGGATCCTTTCCAAGAATAAAAAGAAAATCCTCTTCTTATATTTGAATCTAATGCAAAATAATTTAAATTAAACTGGTTTCCCTTTGTTTATTCTCATATGAAACCATCCTGTTAGATTGTTGCTTTCAGAAAGCTGAAGTCCCCCTATTTTACATTTTTTTAAAAACAATTATGAAGGGAACTAAAATACACAGGATTTAACAGCTTAATTAGTGGCATCCAACTCTTACCAACCTCCTGCCATCACCACAAGCCTTGTTACTTGCTGGCTCCTGAACTGCCAGCCAAATAAAATTGTGTGCAAAAAGACTGATGGGTTCTGGTGCCTCTTTCACCATTTTAATGAGCTCACTACTTCCTCACAGCAAATTCAGTATTTTCACTGCTTGGGAGGCTGATATTCTCATTTCAAAGCAGGTGCAGTCAGTCAGGAGAGACCAGTTTAATGAGTGAACTTTGATCTCTCTTTTAGGATGAAGAAGATGTACATTTACTCAGGGCAGAAAAAAAGCCAGAGGACACAAACCTAGAAGCCTTTCAAGAGCACAAATACCCAGAAAAGGAAGCTTTTACTAAAATCATATATAGTAAAGAGGAGAAGGCAGAACTCCAGATAAACAGAATAAGGAAAGGCTTCCTAAAGTCAGTCAAAAGTGAGACTTTTGTGATGTTGTCCCTGCCTCAAGTGTCAGAATATTTTTCAACAGGACAGGCAGGAGGAAGAAGCAACAAAATCCTAATTTTTTATAATGATCTGCTGGATAACTTTACTTTTAAATGTGTGAAGATGAGTAGATACCACTATGACATGATGTACTTGACTCGTAAAAATAAGAAAAAAGTGACTAATATGACCTGCCTACATCTAAAGCAGAGTAACATCCTGTCCTTTGCATCTGATATTTAATAATTATGGACTAAACTTTAGCAAAAGTCTTAAAGACACTTGTGTAAAACTGAAAAAGTTAAGGTATTTGTAATTATACTTTAAGTTATAGTGCTTGAAATTACACAGGAGTTAATAACTGAAACTTTTTCCATATCAGAGCATTTCTGAGAAGCATGTATTTTTTGTAACAGAAGTTGATCAAAAATGGTAATTGACACTTAATGATGAATTAAAATGTCACTCCTGAAGCCTTCACTTCCAGCATTGGTCTGTGTCAAATTCCTTTTAACAATGCACACTTGTAGAGATGAGAAACTTGAATCTCACCCAAAACCATGGAAAGAACCAGTTCCTCAAATACAAAGCAAACTTAGGAATGATGTTTAATGAAACTTAAGGAGGAGCTGGTGAAGACCCATCCACTTGTTTCAGGACATTGAAATATTTCATGTCACTGAAAGAGTTTTGAAGTCTGTGAATTCTACTTCCCAACAAACAGAACAGATATAATCCCAGAGCGATGCAAATTGAATAGTCATGATTTATAAACCAGGATAATCTCTGCCACTGATGTTCTGGTCTGTGTAAAAACTTTACAGCAACTGTTCCACTACACTTGGAATTTAATTTGAGGAATCAGAAAGCAAACACTGCAAAGTTTGCCTAAAGAGCACTGTAGAAAAGCTTTCAAAAAAATGAGTAATTTAAAACTACAAAAGAACCAGCTGCAGAATCATCCAAAGGTCAAATGCACAATCCAGCATGAGCAGTCTATTAAGATTATCAGTGCAGCACAAAGAATGCTTTCAGCATCCGTTCACAGCTTTCCACAAGCCCAAGACAAAAGCTGAGGAAGGAATAAATGCAACAAAAGGTATTTTGTTGTGACATGTGACAAAAATGTGCTTTAGCAGGGAACTGCTCCTGCACTGGTTGTTCACCTGCCCACTGGAAGTGCAAGGAAAAAAGTTATTTAGAGATAAAAGGAGCATGGGACTCCAGCAGAATTCCTTACAAGACTCTTGAGGTCATGAGCACTTCTACAAGCAGGAAACGTTAATCTGAAACCAGATGAAAATACCAGTCAGAATCACGAGACACAATGAGACAGGACAATGTTAAGGAGAATATATGACTTTTTTTTTTTCCCCCTTTAACTGCTAAGCTCCCACTATGAATTCTGAATGGGACAAACGGGGCAACCATACTGAGCTGCTTAAAAGGGGATTTTCATGGTACAAGGATTGCTCACCCCTGAGCAGACCACTCAACACCAAAGTGTGCTGCAAGAAAATGAAGCCATGGACACACTGAGCTTATTAAAAACAAAAGTCACGGTTTATGCAGCACTTCAAAATTTAAGCTGCCTAAAAAAAAAATGAATTTCTTTAACGGGCATAATTTGAATAATTTTACTCAAGGATTTATTTAATGAGCATTTCCAAGAGCAGGCAGCAGCAACTGCTTTGGGAATTTAGAGTCTACTTTTTTATGAACTGCAGCTTTGTTTCATCCCACTTTTAAAAATGGAAAAAAAAAAAGCTGGATAAAATTAAACCAGAACTAGTACTAGCTTAGCAACATTCATACTATAAATGTTGATCCCTTACTCCAAAATAATGGTTTGCAGCAAGAGTTATTTGTGTAAAACATCTCTGAGAAGCGCCTCTCTGGTTCATCCAAAAACACATTCCCAGAGGAGCTGCCTCCTGAGAAACTGAGCAATCCTGACTACCCACAAAGTCCATCAAGAGCTGCTATAATTATAATCTTGCTCTGGCCAGCACCACGGCGAGGATTCTCTTGGTACCTTTGAGAAAAAGTCTCTTAAGGAGCTATAAATAAAAAGCAGCTTTGTGTGGCACTGTTTTAACTGCTTTATACATAGGACACATCTGTGTCAGTTATAGATTTCTCCAGCCTTTATCATGCCCACATTCTCTTTCACTTAAACCTACTTGTAAATTAAGAATAAAATTTGCAGTCACACTGTGGAAGTATAAAGATGCACATTTGGAGTGTCAAATTAACCCCTGAAACAGGAGCTGACAGGTGCAGAGTAGGAGAAGAGACTTCTTTTACAGAAGATTTAGGAGTGCTTTTCATCAAGGACTCGTGAATAATAATACACCCCCTAACAACATCTGTTCTGTAATAAATATTAAAACATACTGCAAAGTAATTAGATTGGCTAAATTTAGCTCCTCTGATTACTTAAAAGTGACAAAATAAAGCTTAGAAGGTAAGCTGCAGTTCCTAGACATTTCTTGCAGAGGCAAGACGCTCAGCACTGCAATTTGCACTCATCAGACACAGACAGGTTACTCGTTTGATTCTCAGCTAGAAGAGAAAAACCTGTACTTGTCACCAAGTCTAATTCCTAACTTTGCTACTAAATTTCATGTTTGGCCAACAAGAACATGACCGCTTGCACAATGTGGTTTTAGAACAGGAGTAGGAATCCAAGAAATCTGGGCATGAATGCACATAGTTCAACTTGGACTTTCTGCCCTGCACGATCTTTCCAATCAGCTTTTGAGAAAAGGACCATGCTCAAAAAATTCCTTTTGTGCTTGCCAGTGTACTCTGAAATGCTGGAATGAGAAGAAGGCAATACATTTCTGACTTCTTGATTTCACATAATTAAGGTATTGAAAAGCAAGTAATTTTTGGCCACGGAACCTTAGCAGTTGCACACAATACTGCACTGTTACAGTTATCTCTCCAGGAGATAAAAAAGACAATTCACATTCACAGGGAAATTCATCAAATCATCACCAGTGTCAGGTCACAAATTCTCTCATCTCTGCTTTTTAGAGTTATCTCACTGAGACTGACTTTTATAAATAAATTACTTTTATGACCCTGCCATGGCAGGGGGTTTGGAACTAAATGATCTTTCAGGTCCCCTCCAACCCAAACCATCCTATTTCATGAAGATGAATGCTCTACATGCACTACAGAGATCAACCTGAAAGGATGATATATAAAAAAAAACCCTCCTCAGTTTCAAAAGACCGGGAGTACCAGACAAGGAGCTTCCTTCCTCTTTCTCACAGACAAGATGTTGGTTGTTGAAGCCCTGCAAGCCCAGAGGCTGCAGACCCAAGCTCAGAGACAGGAAAAGCAACTGTTCAGCTCTGATGCCACCGTGTCACACACCTGGGGACACGTGTGCAGGACATTCTGCAAGCACATCACCACCCCCTGGGCACACACAGACACTCATACACACACCCCCACAAATCCTGCTCAAATGCCACACAGGAATACATTCCCTGCAAGGCTGGAAGTGCCTATTTTTAGCTGTTAGCAAGAAAGCCAAGTGGTTTTTCCAAATCCTCCTCCTTTCTGAACAAAACATTGGGGTTTGAGCTGGGTTTCCCCTGCAACAAGGAGAACAAAGGGTTTTTTCTACTATGGAATAATCAGCTTTAATCAACTTCACCACTGAAAATACAAGTGACCTCTGAGAAGTGACTCAGGAATCGTGATTTAATTGGCATGTCACAGCAAAATTAGGAATTTAAGGACTTTGGAATAACCCTACAACCTGGGTACAACTGGATGAACTGACAGCCAGGCAACAGTGAAGTCACCATGGTGCCTCCTTAATATTCAGGATTTCCCTCTTTCCCTCTTCCTGCCACACACTTCCCAGTGAAAACTCGGATCTCAGCAGCACATGCAATAAACAATTCAGTGAAGGCAAAAACAGAATGAGGAAGAAATATTCAAGCATGGCCAATTCCTTCCAAGATGGGTAAACACATTTCTAGTTGAACAGAATCCAGTAAAAGCCTCCACATCCAATAAAAGAGGATTATAGCAGACAGCAGCACAGCCGTGTTTCCACACAGCCTGAGCACCTTCAAACCTGGCCACACTTTCCAAACACCACAAAATATTCCCTCGGGCCCGGAGAACTTTACTCTACAATTTTAAAGCCTTAAGATGCCAATGAAAGAGGAGAAAACCTGAGGGTCAAATCGAGAATATGGGCTGACTGTGTAATGACTGAGGATCTTTTCTACCGAGGTCATGAGGTTTTCTATCACTTCTGACCTACAGTCTTAAGTTCACACTGACAAACAAATAATAATAAAGAGCCACCAAGGCAAGCCTTGTGCTCATGCCCTCGTCAGTCACAGCGGAACCAGCAGCACTGCACCCGTTCAGATCTTTATGAAGTTAAGCCCATTATAACCCACCGAGTTTCCTTAAATAGTTTTTATTCAGCAGGGTGCTCCTGCCCACAGCAAACCACGGGGCCTTCAAGAGCTCTCTGCATGTTCTACTTTCCACAGCACCGGCTGTTTCTTCTAAGTTCTCAAAATATAAGCTCGCATGTAAAGTTATTATGGCTGCCCCACTCTCAGAAATCTATTGGCACAAAGTTTAAAATCCAAACGGTCACATAGTACAGCAAATAAATTCCCCAGGACACCTCATCAACTCAGCCCCAGCCTTCAGTGGGCCTCTCCATGTGTAATACTTTGACAATTTGGCTTGAGGTGATCCAGAACAATTTCCTCAGAAGGGCCAGAACCTCAGTTTGAGGGAACACAATTATAATTGATTTAACTTAATAAAGTAAGCTTCTTTCTCAAGAACACGTTGCCACTGTTTTTCTTCTCCTGAGGCTTTTGTCCTCTAATTTGAGAAAACAACAAAAAAAAACCCAAATAAATACAGGACCCAGAGAAGTAGAGCACGTTTTTTTCTTTTAAAGTTTTCATACATGTAGTTTTATCTTCTTTGCTCTTATCTGCCTAAGAGTGAGATTCTTTCAGGCACATATGTGGCCAAATAAACCCACAACAGTCTCGTATCTGAACTGTAACACCCAGTGTCCACTGGCACATAGAAAAACCAGTTAAAGGCAACCACAGCCAGAGGAAGAAAACAGGCTCCTATTTTGTTTTAAGAATCACAGATCCCAAAGCACGACTTAGAGCCTGATGCACTGACAAAGACACTTCAAACAGGCAAAACAAGCAGCAGAAAAGCCTGACAGCCCTCGCTGCGCCCAGCATACCAACCGGGGCACACAGAAATCTCTTTCACATTGTTTTGAATTCACCCTGGCAAAATCCTTCACCACGGCCAAGGCACAAAACAAGGGCTGTGCGAATGGAAAAGCTGATCCCACCTCCGGGCCGACAGCGTCTCCTAATTCAGTGGCTGAATTAATTTAATTTAGCGTTTTCAGCCCGCCGAGCCCTCACCCCTCCTGTGGCACCCAGCGGGCACCGATCCCCCCGCCATGGGCCGGGGAACAAAAGGCCGGGAGGGCCGGGACGAGGGCCGGGGGCGGCAGGGAAGGGGGAAGCGAGGAAAGGACCGGCAGCGCTTCCCGCAGTCCCGGGAGCTCCTCACGCACCGGCAGCTCCACGGCAGGGCCGAGAGCGGCCGGCGGCTCCGGGGAGCGGGGAGTCATTAACCCCCCCAACCCCGAGCCGCGCCGGCGACCCCGCGGGCTGAGGGGGGCGGCACGAATAGAGGCCGCGGCCGGGGAATATGAGGCAGCCCCTCACCTCTTCCATCTCGCGGGCCATGTCCTGGAGCTGCTTCTCGTCGTCCAGCAGCGCGCTGAGCTCCTGAAGGCTCAGCGCCTCCAGGCGCCGCGCGTCCAGCGCCATCCCGGCCCCGCTCCCGGCCCCGCTCCCGTTCCCGCTCCCGGACCGGAAGTACCGCCGCGGTCTCGCCCCGGTCCGGCGGGCACCGCCCTCAGCGCCCCCTGCCGGGGGGGGCGTGTCGGGGCGTACCACGGGGGACGCGCGGAGGGAGGGGGGCGCTGCTGGACGGAACCAAAGGGGCCTGGGGAGGGGGGGCCGCGGTGGCTGAGGGGAGCCCCTGGGGGGGGGGGGCCCGGGGGGGGGGGGGGGGTGAAGCTCCTGTGAGGGGTCCGTGGGTGAAGCCCCTCCATGGGCAGAGCCCCGCACAGAGCGAGCTTTGTGTGCTGCGCTCACGTGAGGCACTCGGGGCCCTCGGAATCCCCGAGGGATCGGTCATTGAGGTTGGAAAAGACCTCTGAGGTCATCGCGTCCGGCTTGTGACCGATCACCAGCTTCTCCACCAGACCACAGCGCTGAGTGCCACGTCCAGTCTTTCCTTACACATACAGGTATGGGGACTCCACCACGTCCCTGGGCAACCCTTTCCAATGATTTGTCACCCTTTCAGTTAACAAATTCCTCCTGGTGTCCAGCCTGAACCTCCCCTGGCCCAGCCTTCTGGTGCTGTCCCTGTTCCATGGCAGCAGAGCCCGATCCCCCGGCTGTCCCCTCCTGTCAGGGAGCTGTGCAGAGCCAGAAGGGCCCCCTGAGCCTCCTTTTCTCCAGGCTGAGCCCCTTTCCCAGCTCCCTCAGCCTCTCCTGGTGCTCCAGCCCCTTCCCCAGCTCCGTTCCCTTCCCCGGACACGCTCCCCAATGTTCTTCCTGAATGGAGGGTCCAGAAGTGGACACAGGGCTCCAGGTGTGGCCCCGGAGCGGCTGCTGGGACACTCGGACAGGTCCCTGGGATGGCTCGGACCCTGCCCTGGGTCCTGCCGGGCAGAGCTGAGCTCTCAGGGAGCCTTCCCAGCCCCGCCAGCACAGAGCTCCTGCCTGGAAGTGCCGTAGCCACTCGTGGCCTCCTTTTGTTTAGAACACCACAGCTGTAAATTCGGAAGGAAAATCAGTAGATTTAACTGGCGTTTCCTTACCCAGGTTGGGACTTGGCTGAAGTAAATATCAAAAGAGTGATTGCATTATTGTTCTCAAGCCTAGGCTGTATACTTATTTTGGTTAAAAATAGCTAAAAATCATATCTGGCCAAGCTTTGGTGCTAGGTCATTTCATTCATCTTAAGCACTTTCTTCTTCAACAGTGAAGGTCAATAAATAATCTGTCAAAGATGTGTTACACAGTAAATTTAAATACTTTTGAAATGCAATGTAGTAAAAACTGTGTCAATTAAAACACCATATATTTTGTTCTTCTGATTCTTATCAGTCATGTCACCAACACTGGAATAGGCAGTGTGTGGTAACCCTTAGGAGCAGCAGCTCCCCAATTACTGCTGCTGTTAGCAGAGCTGATAAAGGCAATTATGCCTGGAAACAATTAATTGTGCTAACAGAGCCTAAGTTATATGCATCACTTGGCATGCACCACCTTCCTGGCCTGCTTTTTTCCCTACGTGGGTGTGGGTGTGTGTATTATTTCCGTGTGTGTAACTCTGGAGAGAGAGCCAGGAGCCAAGGGAGCAGGGGAGGGAATGGCCACGTGGTCCTTGTCCTTTGGAGTTGATATTTTTGATCTAACTGGGGGGAAAAAAAAAATCCATATAGTGAAAAATACAATTCTGAGGCAATGAAGTTGCAGTCACACTCAGGAAGTGACCCAGCAGCTCCTGGCAGGACATTGTGATGACGTGACAGCTTTATGGTTGTTCTTTTGTCCTATAACTAAACTTGGCTCCCCACACCTCTCACCCTCCCAGAAGCCCTTTTTGTCATTATTATCCACAGGGAATAATGACCAGCAAGGTGACCCTGCTAGAGGAAGCCTTCCAGGCCTTCTGGCTGCACGGTGCAAAGGCACTCCACAAGCCTGGGCGTGCTCAAAGGGAGGTGAGGGCATGATGTTTGCGCAGCAGGAAGCTGAGCCAGGGTGGGGAGAAGGTGTTTAGTGATACAAGCATGCAGCAGGTATCACAGCACTCACCCACCCCTGCACACCTGTCCTCTGCTCTGTGCCAGGTGAGTCAGCAGCCGTGCCCTGGGCACTGACAGGGGTTTGCACAGTCACTACAGCCCTGCCTAGTTCTTTAAAACCAGTAGATAAGTCGTCCTGCCAATGCAGTTCCACATACCCTGTATTTGCACATGCCCATCAAACAGAGTTACAGGTTAAGCTGTCAATCTGCACATGCAAACACACGTATGGATATACACACATACAAACAGAGGAGATAGTTGAGGGATTAGGAGAAGCCCTTTCTTCACAAGAACATTGGTAATTTGAACTTCATACCCAAACTAAATAAATGGTTTGGGGGCAGCATGGTTTAGAAGAGTCTGACTCAGCTTCATGTTGTAAATCTAGTTTTACCACTGCCTTGCTGTGTGATCCTGAGTGGAATTCTCAGATTGCCTCAACCATGGTGCCCCTAAAAAGGGGGATAATGAGAACTGCTCGGTCACAGGTGACAACATAACTCATTTGTGCTCAAGTACAGCATGCATTGAAAACACTACTTCTCCCTGTGTCGGTAATCTGGGTTCTGGTGATGGTAGAGAGGAGTCTGCAGTAAACATCTGGGTTGCTTTGGAGTACTTTGGTCAGCACCTGCATGTAATTGAGTTCTCCAGTTGTCCAGAAAAGCAGCTGAGGCTGAAACACAAGATAGAAGTCAACTGCTTCGGTGTAACTATATTTTCTATTTGGACAGGTAGGAGGGTGCCTTCCCATTCTACAGTCCTTGTGGAAAATAAAGGTTTAGTGACAGCACATCACTTGGACAGGATATGAAGGACTGCAGATAAACCAGGATTTTGGGCTACAGGGTTTATCAAAATCAGTGCTGCAGGCTGGGATTTATCGTCTCCCCAGGCTCGGTTCCTATTGCCTTTGCTGAAATCCTTTTGAAGGGTGACAGCATCCGAGTACATTAGAACTGTAAGCAGGCAAAGTACAGAAGTCTGGATTTCTTATTACAGGAGAATTGGAATAAAAAAAATTGTGAAGATTATGGGGGAAACCATGTAATGATGAATAAGAAGTCAGGCTCCAGTCTTGGGGAGAGCTGGCATCCAGACTAGTTTAAATAAGATGCTAATATATTTTTTTTTCTATTTAAACTTGATCTTGACTTTTCTTCTGGTACCTCATATCCTTTTATGGTCAGTTGCACTGTACTCATGCATATTTATTAGATTTACACATATTTTGCAAGTCACCTTCACATCTTATTTTCTTTTCCCGGACAAACTGGTTGGTTGTGTACACACTGAATTTGCAAATCTCATCTCTGGTGTACATTAACCCCTGTTTGTCTGGTTGCTCAATGTGCAGATAAGTTTTGGGGCTTATTTGCAATTTAACTTCCTTCTGCATATTAAGCACAGCCTATATACTTCTGTTTAGTTTTCACAACCCAGATTCCTTCACACATGGAAATGACCTGCATATTCAGCATCCTGGCATTGAAACAGCTGTTCTGTTGGAGAGATCAGTGCCCCTGCTGTCTGAGAGAGAGCAGGAATTAGGTGTTTGTAAGGTACTCCTTCCTTTCAGGGAGCTGCAGGTGTGAGAAGAGCAGCAGGTTTATTTACCTGCACATATTTTCCTTGCCTTAAGCTCACAGTGAAGCTGGAATAGAAGAGGCAGATATTATTTTTCCTCCCCAGACCAAACCACATCTCTGAACCTGAGCTAGAAACACTTTCTGTTTGCTTGTGGCACTTGCAGACCTGCTGAAGGCCTAGAAAGTGCAGCCACTGAAACACACACAGTTGGTTACTGAGGCAGAGGTTGCTGTGGCAGTAGACAAATTGTTGGAATAAACACAGCTGTGTTTTTTCCATCGTTGTGTGCTCATTTTCTGGGTCAGGCAGCCACAGACCCTGGCTGTGCAAAGGTGCAGGGTAAATCCCTGTCCCTTGGGGAAGTGCTGGAACTGTAGGATCCACTCTGGGATTTCACCTTGGATGGGGTTCACTGTTGTTTAAATCAAATAAAGCTGTGGTTATACCTATTACAGGGAATGGTTAGAGCTTATTAATAGTGAGGCAAACAACCTGCTATGGGATATACAGTCAACTTTGCAGTCAGTTGTGCTTTCAAATGCTTAATTGCTTATAGTTCTGCCAGGACAGTCTTCAGTGCCCCCAGGTTAAGATTTCAGATCAATCCCTCAGAGTTCCCTGTGAGGACTTTTCCCTTTGAAGAAAAGGAACTTTTTATCTCCATCACTCTGAGTTCTTGAACTGGTTTTGTTCACGTTCCCCCGTAAATGTCAACTCTAGGCAAAGTCACAGCCACAAAATACTGCAGTCCAGGGTTTCAGAGGGAACAGTGGCCTTGTTTCCAGGAGAATATCCTGAAACACAGACTGCCCACAGGCAGCCAGGCCCGAGGGATTGGGCAGCTCCAGGAAGCAGCTCGTTTTCCAGCCCTGGAGCAGTTCCCACTGCTGCTTTGGGTGAAGCACAGCTTTACTGCCAGGCTCAGTCTGGCCAATGGGCATGTCTGACCCTGATTTTCACTTCAAAAAGAAGCCATAGTTGGAATGATTTAGAACAGTAGGATTTTCTGTACAGTCCCAAGGTTTGTGCAGGCAAAAATATCTGCATTAGATTAATTCTGCTGGATCCCTGGTGGTGTGTGGAGCTCCCACCCATGTTCCAGGGCATAAGAAAACCCTCATGGCTTTAGCACACAAGCAGTGCTGCTTGTCACATGCCAACAGCACAACAAAAGGGCCCGTTCAAGCCACAAGATGAGAGGCTTAGGGGAAAAGTAGCCTTGAGTTATCTGGATGCAGAAGAGAGAATTCAGCACCTGTGGCAATGAACAAAGTCAGGCCCTGTTATCAGCTTGGACTGGTGCCACCAGCAGAGACAGTCTGCTGTTCCCAGTGTGCCATTTCACTGGAAATGAAGCTATTTGGACCTAACAATGCTGGGATTAT